CATGCTCCTGCTCTTAGTGAATCTTAGGGCCAATCTCACATTGCCCCAGTTCAGCAACCCCTTCATGATGATGTCACTCGACGTCTAGACAGCTTAGAAAAGCTAGTGGCTAAACAGCGAGGTGCCCCACCTCCACACCATGCTGCTGACTCCATACCCCACCCTTTGAACACCAACATCACACTGAAACCCTACCCCGCTGGCTTCAGGATACCACAACTTGAAACTTATGATGGGACGAAGGATCCCGATGATCATCTACATGCTTTCTACTCTTGCATGCAAGCCCAGAACGCCTCTAACGCGTTGATGTGCAAAATCTTTCCCTCGACTCTCCGAGGTAATGCTCGAACCTGGTATTACAGTCTACCTCCGAGGTCAATCAGCTCTTATACCGAAATGGCATCTGCTTTTGCCATAAAGTTTTCCAGCCGAAGGTTGATTAGGAAAACTACTTCCGAGTTGATACGAGTTAAACAGAGGGAAGGAGAATCTTTGAAAAATTATATAAGCAGATTCAATGACGCAGTACTGGAGGTTAACTCCTTCGACCAGGCTGTGGAAATTACAGCTGTGATCTCAAGTTTAAACCATGAGCGATTCAGAGATAGTTTGCTCAAGCACCCTGCCACCAGCTTCAGCGAGGTGAATAATAGGTCCCTGAAATTCATAACTGCTGAAGAATATGCCCTGTCACAGAATCCAGCTCCCTCTAATAACCAAAACCCAGACTGGAGAGATGAGAATTCGAACAGGAAACGGATGAAGACAACACAAAACCGAAGTCCGGTGCCGACCTCCACCCCGAGATTCGGAAGGCCGAACTCAGCACCTCCACAACAACCTGCAAGTAAACCTCCAGTTACTTGGACTCCTTTTAACTTGCCAAGGTCACAAATCTTCATGCAGATTAAGAATAAGATGGACTTAAGGCGTCCAGGTCCAATGAGAACTGCTGCTGCTACCAGAGATCATACTAGATATTGTGATTTTCATCAAGATCACGGTCATACAACAGAGCAATGCAACAGTCTGAGGTCCGAGTTGGAAAGTCTGGCTCAGAAAGGAATGTTGAATGAGTACATTCAGAGAGCTGAACAGCCAAGGTTTGTCAGAGAACAGGGGCCACAGCATCAAGGAGTCCGCAATCCCCCGAACAGGCAAGGTGTGGGATATCAGCAAGCCCCACCTCCGCTCCCACCACCAGCTAGAATCATACACATGATTACGGGAGGCCTGGAAGCAGGTGGACTAAGCTCTAAATAGAGAAAGTTGTATGTCAAAGAGGTTAAGCATCAAAGCCGAGCTCAGAAACAAAAGTTTGACGATGCTGCCTGGAAGAATCAACCTATTACTTTCACATCTGTCGATTTTGACACAGTTGTTACACCTCACAATGATCCTCTAGTCACTTCTGTCCTGATTAACAACTGTGAAGTACAACGTGTCCTTATTGACACCGGGAGTGCACCAAACATCATGTACTTCCACTGTTTTGAGAGTCTTGGACTAGATCAAGCATTATTGCAGAGATATGATGATCCCATCTATGGTTTCAATAACCAGCCGGTTCCAGTTGAAGGTGTCCTAACCATGAATGTTGCATTTGGGAGTGGCCGAACCTATGTGACTCCTTCCGTCCGGTTTCTAGTAGTCAAGATGGCGTCCTCCTTCAACGTTGTTATTGGCCAACCCACGCTAACTAAAATCCGAGCTATGGTTTCCCAGTCTAACCTCCACATGAAGTTCCCAACTCCCATGGGAATAGCAACACTACGAGGCAACCAGGAGGTGGCTAGACATTGCTATATCACCTCGGTAACACAACCTAAGAAGGGCAAAGATCAGATACCTGAGGCCGTTCCCCAACAGATTTCTGACAATCAGCAAGTCATAGGTGTTGAAATAGTAGATAATCAACCGGAAGATGAAACCAGAGCTGCTCCAGTTGAGGATGTTGAAGAGGTGCACATTGATGACAGAGATCCGAGCCGAAAAACGCAAATTAGAACTAAGTTGAACCCGAAGGAAAGAGCAGAGCTAATAGCTTTCCTTCGGGCCAACAAAGATATTTTTGCATGGACTTCAGCAGACATGCCGAGAATTCCCACTTCGGTTTCTCAACATAAACTCAACACCAATCCACTCAAGAAACCAGTAGCCCAAAAGCGACGCCCCTTTGGGGGGGAAAGGTTACAGGTCATTAAAGAAGAAGTTGAGAAACTCCTACAAGCTAGCTTTGTCAGAAGGGTCGATTACTATGAGTGGGTTGCCAATCCTGTGCTGGTGAAAAAAACAAACGGTAAATGACAGATGTGCATCGATTATACTAACCTCAACGACGCATGTCCAAAAGACTATTACCCAATGCGAAACATTGACAAGCTGGTTGAGGCAGCTTCTGGAAAAAAGAGATTAAGTCTCTTGGATGCATACTCTGACTACCACCAGGTTCCAATAGCTCCTGAGGACGAAGAGAAAACCTCGTTCTATGCCCGCGATGAAATCTATTGCTATGTGATGATGCCTTTCGGCTTGAAGAACGCAGGTGCCACCTACCAGAAGATGGTTACCATCGTATTCTGAGCTCAAATAGGCTGGAATTTGGAGGACCCACCTCGGGGCTTTGCAAGTCAATCCGAAGTGCAGATACGGATTGAAGAAAGACTTCTGGTTTGGTGCAGTTACAATATATATATATATATTTTTTATTCATCAATCACAAACCCACAAACCAGACAAGATCCATCGCCTGAAAAAAAAAAAAAAACCGTTGAATCAAATTTTAATATCTCTTCGCAATTTCTGGTTCTTACCAAATTTGGAAAGACGAGAGAAAAGTGTCCCGTGCGGATTCATCCTCCCATTCTAGCTCATTCCACCACTGTTTCGCTCCTCTAATGATGATTCCACGCCTTTTTGTGCTGTTGCGGCTAAGTGGAATCTTCCTCAGCTTTGGACAATGAACTATTTCAATTACATCCAAACGCGGGAAGGAAAGTGCAAACCTGTGGATACTCTTCAATTCTGGTAGAGAAGATAAACTCAGATTTTGGAGTTTCTCAAACAAGATTAAGATCTCCGGTCATCGCTGCAACTCTACCCTCACCAATTATTTCTTCCATTCTATGGCAGCCATAAACAGTGAGATTTCTCAGATTTGGAGCCCAAATGATCCATGTAATGTCCTTTAAATTTGGGCAGTACTGTATGTCGACCGTCCACAAGTTGTAGAAGTTTCTTTCGCTTGCAATCAGAGAGGTTTGAAAGACATATGGTGTCTCTATCTTTCTTCCTTCCTCTTCCCACTGGATCTTCACTTCTTCCATGCTTGTGAATTCCAATGACAGATATTGAAGTCGCTTCATAGGTGGCAAACATAAAGTTTTCTGCGAAAACAAGAAGTCATCCTCCAGTTGATGAATGTATAATCCTTCTGTACAACCCTGTAAGCGGTGAGAGCTTAAGAAACCTTCAAGAGCAGAGTCACTACATATAGTTATTGTTAAGGCATTCAAATATTTCAAGCACTCCAAGCACTCAA